GCTTGGTTTCTGAGCCCAAACGTGCAGGACTTGGGCTCTGGCCCAGCCCCCGAACCCGGGCTCCATTCTGCAGCTGGGAAATGCCCGGCTGGGTCCATGCGCAGAGCCCTGGCCCCGGGTCCTGAGCACCAAAGCACCCTCCTGAGCTTCAAACACCCTCCAGAGACCTTACAGCACCATCCCCAGTGCCAAACACCCTCCTGAGTCCTCAAGCACTATTTCCAGACCCGAACACCCTCCTGAATCCCGAACCGATCCTGACTGAACCGCGAACCGGCCCCGGCTGAGCCCCGGACCCCCGTGTGCTGTAGGACGGCACCGAGAGCCCCGACGGGGCCGGGCGGTGCTCGGAAACAGGGCGGGGGGCCCGCGGGCCGCACCCCGCCCCGGGTGGCCTCGTGTGGCTTGGGCGAGGGGCGGCGAGCTCCCGTCCTCCCAACTTCAGCCACCAGTGCCCCGATCCCCACCGCTCCTCCCCGGCGCCGCTCCCCGCACTCCTCCTAGCCCCGAACGGAAAATGGCCACCGCCGGCCCTTACCCGCGCACGCGCCTGGGAGGGGAGGAATCTCGGCGGGGCGCGGTGAGCAGAGGGGGCGGAGCATCGGCCGCTGGGTCCTAGCGCCCCTCCACCTCCGGTGCCATCGGGATACCTGTGGGTAAAGCCCGCTGGCCTGGGAGTCGCAGCGGGGTGCGAAGAGCGGCCCGCGCGGGATCTCTGGGTGAGCGTAAGGCCGAGGTGCGCGGCCCCGAACCCCGAACCCCAAAGCCCAGCACAGGCGTAGCCAGCCCGGCCCCGCGCAGGCGCAGGCGGCTGTCATGGCGGAGAAGGTGCAGAAGAGGTGAGTGTCCGCAGACACACCCCCTCCCCGGGACGCGGCGGGGCTGCCCGCCCCTCCGGTTCACCTCACGGAGCCGTGTCCGTTCCCTCAGCGTCAAGATCGCGCCGGGGGCCGTGGTGTGCGTGGAAAGCGAGATCCGCGGGGACGTGACTGTCGGTAAGGCATCAGGCCTTCCCGCTGCCCGAGTGCTGCGGCGGGGCTGGGTGAGGGGTGACCTCGGCTTGTTCCCGGCAGGGCCCAGGACGGTGATCCACCCCAAGGCCAGGATCATCGCCGAAGCAGGACCTATTATCATCGGGGAAGGCAACCTGATCGAGGAGCAGGCCCTCATCATCAATGGGTCAGTACGGAGCTGGACAATACCCACGGGGTCACCTCATTTCGTGGAGCAAACGCTCCTTTATTGGGAACACTGACCCCCAGCTCCAGACTGGATGAGGAGAGGATGTGTTTGGGATGCCTTGGTCATGTTCCCAGCTTGGGCTTTGCAGATAGTTGTTGTTCCCTGAGATATTCTCTGAGGACAGCAATCCTATCCTGACAATGAGAGACCCTGTGCAAGAGCAAGCCATCTCCAAACCCCAGCACTCTAGCTGGATGGGATAGAATCACAGAATCCCAGACTGGTTTAGGATGGAAGGGACTTTAAAGATCATCCAGTTCAACCCCCCTGCCATGGGCAGGGACACCTTCCACTAGCTCAGGTTGCTCCAAGTCCTGTCTGGTCTGGCTTTGAACACTGCCAGGAATGGGACATAATATACATGACGTTTCTCAAAATCAAGCTGCCAAACATTACAATACCTTTGTGATCTCAAAACTTGAAATATATTCTCCCATCTTGCAGGTATCCAGAAAATATTACTCCAGAAACTGAAGAGCTGGAGCCCAAACCCATGGTCATCGGCACTAACAATGTTTTTGAAGTTGGGTGTTGTATCCTTGCTGTACTGTGAGATTGAACGTGTGATATACTGCACTTGTGGATCGGTATGAGGGGGAAGGTATGGGCTCTCTTGTGGTTCAGGCAGCCCAGGGCTGTTTATTGCAGGTTGTTGGTTGGAAAATGGCACCAGAGTTTACCTTCCGAAATAAAAGCAGAACATTCTGCAGTTTTCTTTAACATTGACCCGTAGATTCCCAAGCAATGAAGGTAGGAGATAACAATGTCATTGAATCCAAAGGTAAGTCGTGGCTCATCATCTTGTGAGGTTTTGCAGAAGCTAGGAACAGTAGAGGTGGTTTCTTGCTGTAGATGAGGCTGTTGACAATGCTGTGATTTTCACCCAGAAGCCCAGTGTGTGACTCACCTTCGGGGGACCAGGCCGGGCTGGCTCTGCCTCCTGGTGCTGAACAGCTCATGATGTTGATGTTGGGTAGTGCAGGGTATATCCACACCGTGGGCATGACTCTCACAATGATTCCTCTCTCTTCCTGGCAGCGTTTGTTGGCAGGAATGTGATCCTGACAAGCGGGTGCATCATCGGGGCCTGCTGTAACATCAACACCTACGAGGTGATCCCCGAAAACACTGTCATCTATGGGGCCGACTGCCTCCGCCGTGTCCAGACCGAGCGGCCACAGGTGAGTGTGACAGACGGGTGACACCATTCCTGTTGCATCCCTCTGCGGGCTGCCCTCACCCTGCCTCTGCTCCCAGCCCCAGACACTGCAGCTGGATTTCCTGATGAAGATCTTGCCAAACTACCATCACCTAAAGAAGACCGTGAAGGCCACATCCACTCCTGTCAAGAGCTGAGCATCTTCTGCTGCTGGTGGCTGATTAGAAGGGGTTTTGTCTGGTCCTGGGAAGTCCTCCCCAGCCCTAGGAAGTGGCTGACCATGCCATCTTTGGGAAAAAAGACTAATACCATCTCGATTGTGTCTGTCATTTATATTCTGCCCAGCACCTCGAGTCCGCTGTGGATCAGTTGTTTCTTATGCACTAACTCCATTGTACATTTTTGGTTTGGGGAATAAAATGTTACCTGCTCTTCTGTCAAGGAGAGACTGCTGTGCTGCCTGGGTCAGGTGCTGAACTGCCACTGCCGCCATCCCATTTCCTACAAGGATGCTGGAGAGGGACTGTAGCGATAAGATAAGGGGTTCAAACTGAAACGGGAAGTTCAGGTTAGATCTAAGGAGGAAGTTCTTTACTGTGAGGGTGGTGAGGCACTGGCACAGGTTGCTCAAAGAAGTGGTGAATGCTCCATTCCTGGCAGTGCTCAAGGCCAGGCTGGACAGGGCCTTGGGTGACATGGTCTAGTGTGAGGTGTTGGAACTGGATGATCTTAAGGTCCTTTCCAAGCCAAACCAGTATGTGATCCTATGATCCCTTGAGGACAGCCCAGGTGCTGTCTCCCTGCTCTTCCCTTCCCTGGCTGCCGGCAGAGGGAGATGGACCCACACCAGGTGAGAGCAGGGCTGCTTGGAGGAAGGGTTTTTCTTGTCTTGCTTCACTAGTCCATGCGGACTGTGGATGGGGAAAGGCTCCAGGACTCTCCCTGGTCTTCAAAGGCACCTATTCAGCTTCCCTCCTAGAGGGTCCACAATGGAGCTAAAGCTCCTCCACTCATCAGCTGAGCTTTGGACACATCCATGCTTCCCATCCAGCCCCTCAGACCTACCAGGAATATTACTCACACCTTCCCCCTCTGTCCTTGTACAACATTGCCCGATGTTCTCTCTTGGTGCACAAGGAAATTAATGTTGCAGCAGAACTCTGTAGGAAGGAGAGAGTGGAGAGAGCATCAGCAACCACCTGCAGAGGAATCTCAAGTGCCAGGTGGGCTACAAGACATGGGGTGCTAATTTGGGACCAGGGGTTTAGGTGGGACAGGCCAAGGCACAAACAGCACAGCACCCACTGGATTTGCTCCCTGAGTTCAGTTACAGGAATAGCCAAAATAAAAACCCACTGTTTTTTGGCTTTGCAGCTCCAGTCCTTGGTCCAGCACTTGTGACAGTGCAGCTCTTCCCCAAAGCCAAATCCAAACAAGGGCTGAACCCTTGTCCCTTCAGCTTGAAACATAAGGCAAACTTTTGCTGGGAATTCATCCCAAAAGCACCAGGCTCCAGCAGATTCAAGCAACTAGATCAGCCCCCACACTTCAGATTCCCTCTCTGGGCCACCTGCCCTGGTAGCCAGACACTTCCACCTCCCCAAATCCAGCTGGCATGGCTTATTTCCATTTCCCTCACAGCATGAGAGGTTCTGCTCTGTAAATCACCACTGTAGGGGGCTGGAAACAGTGCTCTAGGTCAGTGGTGGGGCTGAATCCATCCAGGCTGCCCACAGGCCTGCAGGTCTGTTTTTTCCAGAGTTGCCATGATCTTAAAACACCTATCTGGTACAAGCCCTTTGCCATCAGCAGGATGTCCTCAGTGTCACCTCTGGTCCCCATGTGTTGTGTCCCATCTTCTTCAGAGACGGCTGCTGGTCCAATGCTTTTCACCCTAAGGGTCTCCATCACTCAACACCATCCACGGAGATGTGACAGGGCTGGGACTGACCCAAAGATCAGACAGAAGAACAAGGCGAGCAGGGTGCAAACTCACCTGAAGCTCTGCCTAAGTGGGGAGTGGGGTGGGAGCCTAAACGCAGCCCCAGGGCCAGCCCCACAGCCAGCCCTGCCCCTGTGTGTTCCCCCATCCATGCCCTGTGTCCCCATCACTGTCCCCTCCTCTGCCCCACAGCCCTGCTGCAGCCGTGACCCTGGGAGTGGGCCCTGTGTCCCCAGGACTGTGTCCCATGTCCCCATCCTTGTGTCCTATATCCCCAGTCCTACGACCGGACTGCCGTATGTCCCCAGCCCTGTGTCCCGCGTTCCCAGCCCATGCCCCCAGATTCCTGTCCTGTATCCCCAACCCTATGTGCCATCTTTCCAGCTGCATCCTGTGTCTCCAGCCTCTTGTCCTGTATCCCTAATCCTGTGCCCAGTGTTCTAGCCCTGTGTCCCAACTTCCCAGCCTTCTGTCCTGTATCCCCAAACCCGTGTCCCATCTTCCAACCTTCTTCCCCGTGTCCCAGACCTGTCTCATTCATCCTCCCGTCTCTCCTACCCCCGTGGCCCCGTGTCCTCATCCCTCCCCCCGCCTCCAGTTCCCCCCGGAACCTCCCTCCCCTCTCCTCCCAGTCCCTCCCCCGCCCCGGCCCCGCCCCGGTTCCCCCCGCGCCCTCCACCGCCGCCTCCAGCCTTCAGCACCGCCCGCCCCGGACGCGGCTGCCGCCGGCGGGACGACGAGCCTGGCCCCGAGCGCAGCATGAGCAGCCTCCCCGCCGACCGGGAGGGCGGCCCCGCCGACCCCGGCCTGCCCGAGGAGGAGGTACCGGGGGAAGGAGGGGATGTGGGGTTCGGGAGGTCCAGCATCCCCCTCCCCACCCGCAGCTGCCCCACGCCGGGGGGGGTGTCCTGTCGGTACCGGGACTGCTGCTGGAGAGGGGGCACAGCGAACTGCGGGCAGCGCATCCCCTGCTCCCCGGGACAGCCCCGCATCCCCCCGCAAACACCCTTCTGCCTCCCCGGGGAGCCTCGCAGCACCCCGGGGTGGGGGGGGGTGCCCAAGCAGCCTTCACCCCCTCCCCAGGGCCGGTGTTTGAGGTGACCGTGGTGGGTACCATGCATGTCCGCGTCTCTCAGCCCGAGGGTCTCACCCCAAAGATGTACCCCCGCCCTCATCCCCACGGGAGGCAAACGCCACAGCCCCGACACAGACTCTGCAAGCGCGGAGTTCCTGGTTTTACCCGTGACCTTGAGATGGGAATTTGGACTTTGGGAGGGTGAGAGCAGGTAGATGATAGGATCTCCTCCTCACCTTTCACCCCACTGCACTGTTCCAGCACGTCACTTTTCTATGGGGTCTCTGACTGATGGGCACACCGGGATGCTCTGCTCGCCTGCTCTCGCCTGCCTCAGGGTTTTTGGTTTTCCAGGCTGAAGCTTACCGAAGTTTCCCAAAGTGCTCCAATAAGGGGAATTTCTCCACTGATGGCCTCACCAGATCCTTGCAGGTGATGGTGATGATGTGGCTCACAAAGGGAATGCCGATGGGAGAAGTCCATTAAGGCCTGTTGCCTTTCGCAGCACCCTGTTCCCAGCTGGACCCAGGGGGGCGAGGGGCTGGCCATGGCACTGCTGGCCCTTGGAGTCCCCCTGACCAGGGGAATGCTGAACATGAGGAGTCCCTGCGAGGTGCCAGAGTCTCCTATTGTATTGGGAACATGTTAGGAGGGTGATGGCTGCTCCTGTTTGCAAACCAGACTCCTCCGGAGCCAGGCAGGTCTTTTTACCTGCACGAGTTTTTCCCAGCCCTGGCTGGAAGAGCCAGTGCTGTCGAGTATTTGCTTAAGCACAGGTGAAGGGGGCTGCCCAAGTACTGCACCCTACCTCCCCCTTCCCTGGGGCTTCCTGCCTTGTCCCCCTAAAAACAAAAGAGGGAGAAGCATCATGGGGAAGTCAGTCAGGGTGCTGCTGGGTGAGACGAGCCCCTGCTTTGCCCTCACTCCTCCCTGGGCTGGCCAGAGTCCTGCTGCCCAGTGTGGTCACCCCATCCCTGTCCCCTTCCCCCAGAAAAGGGACCCCCAGGTGTGGCGGAGCTGTGGGACCGGGGGTGGAAATGCCCACAGAGGATCCTGGAGGGGAGGGAGGAAAATTTGGGAAGGAGGTCCTGTCACTCCAGCCAGGCAAGGACGGCATGTAAAAGGCTCAGCAGAGGCCTTATTTGGTAGCAGAGCAGCTCAAGAGAGCCCGGCTTGTGGTCCTTGTCCCCGTCCTATGTCAGATCCTTCATCCCAGGGGACCAGGGCATGGAGAGGGGACCCCAGGGGTGGTTTCTGGGGCTGGGGGGGAAGGTACCCAGCAAGTGGGTAAGGATTGTCCCAGTGTTGCATCTCCCCCATGCTGCCAATTCCTTTCCTCCTCTAAGCACAGGGTCCGGAGGGTTTGTAGCCAGACACAACCGTGCATGACCCCCGCCGTTGCCTGCTGCTCACTCCTCTGCTCTGTTGCAATCCCCCATTTGCTCCCTTGGCTTCTCGCTGGCTTTTCTTCCTCTGCCGCTTCCTCGTTCCAGCCCCAACAGCTCTGGACTGGCTCTTCCCAGAGGGCTGCTCCATTTGTCCCGTCCTCCCACTGGACATTTGGCTACTGGTCTGGAGAAGTGGCTACGGGTGGCAGGACTGAAGGCTGAGCCCCTTCCTCCTGCATCCCAGCAGCACAGGAGCCAGCATCCCCTTGTTTATGTCAGGGAATTTTGCGGGTTGATGGCATGTGTACACACAGCCCAAGAATCTAAACCCAGCCAAAGAGGAGGACGCTCCATTAGCAGAGGGAGTATTTACGCAGGGATTAATCCCTGTGGAGCTGGAATTCACCCCACCACAGGGGAGGCAGTACCCCACTTTGCCAGGGAGAAGGGGAGGAAGCTCCGCTTGCCCTGTTTTATGGCTTGATCGCAGCGTTCCTGCTCCCACCGGGGCAGTCAAGCAGTTAATCGGCTGGTAGAGAATTAAAGCGAGCCCCCACTGAAGGGTGGTGGGCAGGGAGCTGGGCATGAAGGAGGCCATTAAATGCCTTGTGAATGAATCACCCAGAGGCCTTCCGCCTCTCCCTGCCGGCCCCCAGCCTGTTAACGTTTACCAGGGGTGGTTTGTGCAGGGGCAGGGGTGCGTGACCATGCTGGTGGGGTTCCCAGCATCCTATGGGATGGTCAGGTTGGATGAGGCTTGGAGCAACCCGGTCTAGTGGAAGGTGTCACTGCCCATGACATGGGGATGGAACTGGATGAGTTTTAAGGTCCCTTCCAACCCAAATCATTCTGTCATCTGATGGAGATCCAAGGCAGGCAAATTACTCCCTGGTGCCTCCTTAGCTGTGGGAGACAAACCTGGCTTGTGGCCTCTCCAGTATCCCTTAGATTGATCCCAGATGAGACATGGTGTTTGAGGACATCAGAAGGTGATGGTGCAGAGGTGAGAGGGACACACCAAAAGCAGGATGGAGATGGCTTCCTAGGAAGAGAGGAGAGCAGCAGAAGCTGGGAAAAGACTTTGCTGTCTTACTGACAGTACGAACCAGGAAGGGACAAACCGGGAGTGAGGCAGTGGAATTGGGATTCGGTGGCCCTGGCAAACCTGGGAGCTGTGGGACACAGCAGCAGGAGGAGGACCATGGAAAGTGGACGTGGTGTAGTCCCACAGTCATCATCCCCCCTGAAAGACATCCGGCATGTCTGTCGTGTCTGGCACCCTTGGCCAGCAGCTTCCTGGAGCAAGCACTGGCACTTCTTACCTGGAAGAAACCTTTGGTTCACCCCAGACTGTAACAAAGAGAGATGGAGAAACGCTCCACCAAGAGCATTTGGACCCCATCTTGGAGTGGTCATTTTTCCCTATGGAAGAGCACACACCTAGTAAGGCTTTTTTTTCCCCTCTCAAAGGCAGTATTTTGCCCTGGGAGTGTTCAGGGTTGAGGATGGAGGCAGAGCCCCTGGGATGTGTCGGCACAGCAGCGCCTGGAGCAGCTCTTTGCGGGTTTGAAGCTCCTTTTCCATTTAAGGGCAGGAGTAATATTTCCGCCTAAAATAATCTTTCCCCTTGGCAAGAGGATATCTGTCCAGCCTGCTGGGAATTATCCCCGAGGACGCTCCCTTTGTCTGCCTTTCTCTCGCATTAGCACCCAAATCCTCCCACCTGCTTGCTACCCAGCCCGGCAAGAGGATGTTGTTTAGGTAGGACCTACTCAAACATCCCTTTGGCCGGGTACGCCACTTTCAGGATTCGAGTGGGGTGTGCCTATGACCTCCTATCTCTTCCCTCCACTTCCCAGCTTCCAAAACATCCTTTTGGGGCTGGAAACCAGCTGGGAGATCTTTTGGAGCCTTCCTCCCTCTCTCGCTCTTAATTTGACGGTTTAAAACTTGGCCGACCCACGTTTGAACTTTCAAAGAAAACAAGTCATTACTGAAGAGAAGCCCTTCCTTTGCGAGGAGGCCCAATTCCAGAGTCTTTTATCTCCCATCTCTCTGCCAGGCAGCTATGGGGCTAAATGATCTGGCAAACCGGGCTCATAGGGGTTTGGATTTCAGGGATGTGGTGGTTTCTCCTGTGGAGCCACCTCTGAGGCCTCTGGTCCCTGGGGAGAGGAGAGGCTGGAAGACAGCAAGCTAACATGCCAGGGAGGACCAGAGGCTTGAGGGATGATGGAGACGGGGGGTGGGGGGAACCACGCAGGGATACTCAGCCTCCCCCAAAGTAAAACCCAGCTGGGAGGGTGGATGTGTCTGGCGATCTGATCCCCCACATAGCAGGCATTCTCAGTGGATCTGTCTGAAGGGGAGTACTTTTATTTTCCCTTAGGAAAGGATAAATTTGCCTTCCTTAATTGAAATTCATGGATGCAAGGGGAGGTCCTGCGGATGAATCCCTCCTCAGACCCTGCCAGGAGAAATCTGGGAAGTGTCTCCATTAGGAGACAGTGCAGCATTGCGTGCTTAGGGATGCTCCATCGCCCTTTGATCTCAAGAGAAAGGCAGAAAGCTGGTGGGGGTCCCCAAAGCATCCTGTGGGGGGTTTCCAGCTCACCATGAATGGTCGCAGTAACAGGGACAGGCTACGGGGCTGTGCCCAGCTGCAGCTGTGGCTCTGGAAGGGGTGAGGACATGCCTGCACTGATCCCATCCAGCCTGGAGCTCTCAGCATCCCTCTAGGCAAAGCCCTGAACATGCTTTCCTGGCTGGAGCAGGGCTTGGTTTCCAGGAGGAGCCAAGCCTGGGATGGCTGTACTTTTCATGGCTGGCCTGTTTTCTGGCACCCAGTGATGGAAGATGGGTACCAGCAGCCCGATGGGTATCGCACCACGGCTGTTGACACAAGGGCTACATGCAAAAAGCCCCTTTTGTAATTTAACCTTTTGTTATTTAGTAGATACAGGTCAGCCAGAGGTTTTGCTACAAAAGCAGGCATGTTTGCTGCTCCCAGGCCCTGGGAGATGGGGTAGATAGCTTATCTGCAAGAGAAAGAAGAAATGTCAGCAGAAGAATAGGCCTGGGGTGGCTGTTTCTGGCTGTGGGAACTAAAACTAAAATAGATAAAAAAGAAATTGAGGTTTACCCCCTCCTCTAGCCTGAATCTGGCAGCTTGGCCCCTGGTGGGGGGGGGTGACCTTGATCTAGCCCCTCGGGACGAGCTCTCTCAAGGTATTTGGCTGTCCAAAAAAACTAAGCTACAGCCATTAAATCCCCCAGATGACCTCCTAATAAGGTGCTACAGGAGTACTGGAAATGATGGGGAAGGCAAGGCAGGGATGTAGGATCCATCCCCAGGTGCCTCAACAGGAGCAGAGATGGTGGATGGGGACACAGCAGGACTGAAACCAAGCCGCTACTCATCCCCAGCATGGTCTGAGGCTAAATACAACCCTGGGGTGAGGGTCTCAGGTGAGGATGGTTGGGGCTGTTCTCAGCCCTAGGCTCCTGCCGGCCATCCAAGTGTTCGGGTGAGATTTCTGGGAGTGAGGAGTTGGCAGTTGATCCAACTGTTGGTCTCCTGCTTCACACCGCTCCCCAGGTTAGGAGCTGGTTCTAAAGCAAAACCATCCTGGCACAGGTCTTGCCCCAGGTGGGGTTTGCCTGTTCCTGAGGAGCCCCACGTTCACCCCAAAAGAGTTAAACCCCCTTAAAAAGTTACTTTTATAAACCAGGGACAAGCTGCTTAATGACACCTCCCTCTAAAACAGGGCCAGTCGTCCAGGAGGAAGAGTTGGGTTTTGCTTCTCCCAAGTCCTTCATGAACTGCTGCAATTAAACAGAGGCAATAGGCATTGTCTGCAGAGTGAGGGCTCTGCTGGGGAGGCCAGGAGGGGTCCTGTTTGCCAGACCCGGGTAGGAAGGGTCCAGGATGGTTTTTGACCCTTTTTGACCCAGAGGGAACTCAGTGTGGTGAGGACAGGTCTTGGTTACCTTTCCATGGTGTCTTACCAGCTTACTTCATGGTCCCATGAAGGATGGGGATACCTTTCCCAAAAATGCCACATCCCCCAAGTGTGGATTAAGGATTCTGGCTGCCTACAAGATTCCCCTTGGACTGGCATCATTCTGGAGTGTCACCACTGGAGGCTGTGGGATGCATGGGGTATTCCCAAGTTGGGGATGAGGGACGATCACCAGGAACCTCCTTTTCTGTTCTTCTAGGTGAGGACGCTCTTCGTTAGTGGGTTGCCTCTGGACATTAAGCCCCGGGAACTTTACCTGCTCTTCAGGCCCTTTAAGGTACCAGACCGGCGAGGGGAGAAGGGGGATGGAAGCACAGGGCAGGCCCCCTGCACCGTCCCATTACCACACCAGCCTTGGTGGGATCTGGGAACTTGCTGATTTCCTCCGAGAATATATCTAATTTTGTGATTTTATTCACAGAAACAAGTTTCTGCACCTTTTTTCCCCAATAGAAGGCATGAAAACTCAGGCAGTGGCTCAGATCTGTTACTACAGTGGACCTTTCTGAGCAGCCTTCCAATACCTAAAGGAGCCGGCAAGCAATCTGGAGAGGAACTTTTTATAAGGCCATGTAGAGACAGGACAAGGGGGAATGGCTTTAAACTGTGAGGGTGGTGAGGCCTGGCACAGGGTGCCCAGAGAAGCTGTGGCTGCCCCATCCCTGGCAGTGTTCAAGGCGGGGTTGGACAGGGCTTGGAGCAACCTGCTCTAGTGGAAGGTGCCCCTGCCTGTGGCAGGGAGCTAGAACTGGATGAGCTTTAAGGTGCCTTCCAACCCAAACCATTCTGTGATTCTGTGACTCTGTAAACCACAGGAAAATGGCATCAGGCTCTTTGGGGTTTAATTGCACACTGACTCACACCCCATTTAGCAGAAGACTGTTGGCTGCAGACCTCCAGTCTCTTCACCCTGCGAGACCTACATCTCAGACACTGGCTCTTTTCAAACACAAAGGACAGTAGTATCAGGCAACCACATCCTTACAAAAATCCAGCAGCGGTGAGTCCCTGTGCTGGTGGCAAGCTCCCCTCTGTGCCTACCTGATGCCCCAAAGCTGTAGGGCTGCTGGGTGATGGATACAGGAGGTTTCCCTCTCCAAAGGGCAGCTGAAAAGTGGGGATCTCCACCAACCACCCTTTTTTATTCTTTTTCTTGCAGGGATACGAAGGGTCCCTCATCAAACTCACCTCCAAGCAGGTAGGAGCCACTCAAAGTGGGGTGAGCATCCCATGCCATGCACCATCGGTCTCTGGGGCGAGGGGTTCCTTCTCTGCTCCCTATCAGCATCACTGATGGTCCCTGTTCTTCCTCCACAGCCCGTGGGCTTTGTCAGCTTTGACAGCCGCTCCGAAGCGGAGGCAGCGAAGAATGCGCTGAATGTGAGTGCCCCCGGATGCTCCATGTATCTGGGATTTTCCCCTTCGTCTCCCCATCCCCGGATACTCTCCAGGTTCCTCCATCCCCGGAATGTGCATCTCTTGTACTGGCTGGTGGTACCGCATCCCCATCCCTCCAGCTAATCCCCATGGGTTGGTTTTCATCTGCATCCTCCCAGGGGGCTGCATCCCAAGGCCAAGCCTAAGGATTAGAGCCTTAGATATGAGTCTGAGAGAGACGCCTTTCCCAGCCTCTCCTGTTATTTCAGTGGGAAAAATCCCAGCTAAAGCTGGAAAAGGAAAAGCAAATTTTGCTTTAGAGGCTCCCTCCTACCTCCGCGGAGTTAAACCTCCTGAAAAGAGTCATGGGCAGAAGTGTGCGGAGCTGGGTCTCCAGTCCCCCCGGGGTTTTGGTTGGGGTTGGGGTTTTTTTTTTCTTCCTTGGCTTCATTTTCAATGCAAGATATTTTTTGGCTCTGCTAATCCCTCTGGATAAGAGCGCAGGACGCTGACTGCCAAATATGGTTCCGATGCTAGAGATGCCGGAGGAATGCGAGCCGCCTCGGGGCCTGGAACATGAGCTCATTTCAAGGCTGGAAGTGGAAAAGAAAAAAAGAAATCCAGTACTGGGGAGTTGTTTTTGTTGTGGGGCTGGTGCTCACCCGACCCACCGTGCCTCTCCGCTCCCGCAGGGCATCCGCTTCGACCCCGAGATCCCCCAGACACTGCGGCTGGAGTTTGCCAAGGCCAACACGAAGATGGCCAAGAGCAAGCTGGTGGGCACCCCAAACCCCAGCACGCCACTCCCCACTGCCATACCTCAATTCATCACCCGCGAGCCCTGTAAGTACCAGCCCCAGCTCCCCTGAGGGAGCCCTGTGCCATGTCCTCCCAACCTGCCACCATGGCAGTGCCAGCAGGTTTCCAGGGGTTGTTCCCATCCTCATTTTCCTCAGGGAAAATGCCTTATTCAGGGAATTCAATGTCATCCAGACATCCCAGGTGGATGTAGCAGGATACCGGAGGGAGCAGGGATGCTGGAGGGGGGTGGCGATGGGAACACTAGGTCCTGTCGGAAGCTGCAGTGCCTGTTTGCTGCAAGCATGGTGGCATGTTCTGGCTGGTGGCCATGAGTCCCCAAACACTGGGACATGCGACAGCCGGCTCTGAACAGTGCACAGAAATGGGATGAGCTCCCGGTGCCGCTTCACGGTGCCAGGGAGTATCTGGGTGGAAGCCTCGATGATGTCTTGCTGTGAACACGCCATACCCATTTCTGCTACTGAAAAAGTAGATACCAGTGTGTGGATACCAGTTCCTCGCCTCACCGCTGTGCATGGCCGTGAGTTGCACACTCTCCTCCGCACGCACTGACACTCGATTCCTGGGGTAAATAAACCTGGAGATGATGCACCGAGCACTGTAGCATCACTTGCCACTGGCCAAAGTCTGTGCTTTCCCAGTGGGCGAATTCGGCATTGGCTTTGTGGTCAGCTCTTGCCAGCAGCACCATCACGTCATGCTTCTTCAGAGGAGGCTCTGCTCCTGCTTTTGCCTGCTTTGGGGGGCGAAGGAAAAACCAGCAGAGCTGTTGGTTATCATGTGGCGTGGTGGAGGTCGCATCCTGGTGCCTGCCATTAACTCTTCTTCTTCTTTCCTTGCAGATGAGCTCACAGTGCCTGCACTTTACCCCAGTAGCCCTGAAGTGTGGGGGCCATACCCTCTGTACCCAGCGGAGTTAGCACCTGCTCTACCTCCTCCTGCTTTCACCTATCCCGCTTCACTGCACGCCCAGGTAATTCAGACCCATCCGCCACCACTGCGCTCACCCTCACAGACCTCCCCTTCTCCTGGGTGCTCGCTGCACCACTAACCTCTGCCCAGCTAACAGGCACTCACCCCTCCTCACTGAGACTTAGGGATGGCACCAAACACCCTGTCTGTCTTCCTCCCTTCATTCCCACCAGGTGGGGCGGGAGGGATTGGGGAAGCTTGCTGGCACAGGACTTGATCCATCCCCACCGCTCCCAGTACCAAACAACCCATCCACTCCCTTGAGCATCGCTGGGATGCAGCTTGATGGATGCGGGGTGTGAAGCAAAGCAACCCTGAGGAGAGGGAAAGCGAGTTGCAAATGGAGGACCCATCTTTTATTGACAAGTGCTTTTCCGTTGGCTGCCCCAGTGGCAGCATGTGGATGTTAAAATGAAGCACCTACCTAGCGGAGAAAAGGAGAACTAGAAATGGAGGCGGTGGAGGATTTCTTTGCAGTGCCAGCCTTTGGAATGTTTCCCGTAGTGGCATCACAGGGATGATGGGAAGAGATGCCTGCCACGGAGTGGGGAACAGAAGCTGCCTCCCCAGCAGCCATGCTGGACATTATCCCAGCTTGTGCTCCTCAGCTGCAGCTTGGCGGTGAGCAGGAGGAAATGAGCACATGGAAACTGATTTGCCGGATAAGCCACATCCGAAAGTCTTGAACCGGGTTATCCGGAGCCACCATCGCCGGAGCCAGAGACAGCCGGGGGCTGGTTTGAACGGGAGGGCGAGGAAAAGCGCTCCATGTACAAACCATCCTCAGCCTTTGGATGAAACTCCAGGTTTTCAGGCCTTGCTGTCTGTAGGAAGAGCAGCGGTAAATATTATTGCAGTGACGTACTTGCCTTGTCAAATAACCACTAACAGGCAGCACCTGCGCTGCTCAGGAGGCTGGTGAAATGGCCAGCAAAGGAAGTGGAGATGTAAGGAGGCTCCGAGGGCTCCTGGGAAAATCCATGCTGAGAATTGATGTTAGATGCTGAGACTATCCCCACTTGGTCCTGCTGCAAGCAGTGATGCCACAGGCTGCATTCAGCCCCAGCCAGTGTCATCATCCCAACCAGAGCTGGGAAGTACTGCGTGTGTTTTGATCTCCTTGGGGAAGGCTGGGAAAAGGGAACCCATAGGAGCTTCGTGCCAGGGTGTGTGGCCACCACTCTTCTCACCTTGTTGCACCTCTTGTCTTTGCAGATGCGCTGGCTCCCTCCCTCCGAGGCTGGTTCTCAGGGCTGGAAGTCCCGTCAGTTCTGCTGAATGCCGGGTGAGTGCTCTCCTGTCCTCCCCCCTGCTGTGACTCTCGCGGTCTTCAGCAGCTTAGAGCTGGTGAACATCTCATAAAGCCTTAATGAGAACTCTCCTGGAAGCCCCAGTGTGGTTACCAGGGAGGTAGGAGGATGGTTCAATTACACCTGGAACCGCTGTGGATGGCAGAAGCCTTGTGAAACATGCTCTGCAAATAACTCAGCCTTTTGTGGCTAAATAAACAAAAGCGATTCAAATGGAAGAGGGGGAAGAGGCTCTGCTGATGCTGAGTATCACTTGCTCCGTGAGCCTGCAGGAAGCCTCCTGTGCCAGTGTTTCCAGCTAAAATCTAAGCAGAGCTATATTTAGGAAGAGGAGCTGAGTGAATCCCTCAAAAAGATCCATCTGTTTGCAGCAACCCTGGTAGCCAAAATGGGCTGCAAGGATGGAGGGTCAGGGACCACCTGGTTCTCTGCCTGCTCCACCAGCCAGTTTTGCTGCTCAGACTTTCCTGCCTGCGTCCCATATAGAATCACAGAATGGTTTGGATTGGAAAGGACCTCAAGATCATCCAGTTCCAACCCCCTTGCTGTGGGCAGGAACACCTCACCCCAGACCATGTCACCCAAGGCTCTGTCCAACCTGGCCTTGAACACTGCAGGGATGGAGCATTCACCACTTCTTTGAGCAACCTGTGCCAGTGCCTCACCACCCTCACAGTAAAGAACTTCTTCCGTATAGCTAAACTAAACCAAACTGTGAGTTTGAACCCATCACCCCCTGTCCTATTGCTGCAGTCCCTCATGAAGAGTCCCTCTTCAGCATCCAGATACACCATGTGGAGCCTATCAGGGCAGGTTTGAGATCCAAACTACCCTCTTAGGAAGTGCAGACACTGGCCACCGCCAAACAACCTCTCCCCACAGCACACTGACCTCGGTCCCTGACCCTACGCCGTGTCCTCTCGCAGGTCTCAGGTGTGTGATGGTGGCCTACAGTCAGTCTTGTGGGTATTAATGGAGTCTTCCAAGGTGGCTACTGGGTTGGTGTGCTCTCTGCAGAACCACAGTGTGCTGGTAAGGCTGCAGCACAGCCTGGCTGTGCCGGGGGGGGGGGACGTGGCCCAAGGGGAGGGGGTAGAGGGGCAAGGAAGCCGTTGTGGTGTCCCCGAGGGAAGAGGCAGCGAGGTGACAATCCCTGGGATTGACCCCTGCTCCCCCTGTGGCACGACACCTCCAGCACCAATCCAGCGATCCATGCTCTGTCATTCCTGCGCTTATCGCTGTTATCTGGGGTGAGAGTTTCAACAGCCAAGGAATGCTGCTCGGCTTTGAATTACCCCCAGTAATCTCATCTCGCTGCTCTGCTCACTTCCTGCCTTGGATCAACACAGACTGAATTCCTCTTAAGCGCAAATTCAGTTCCAACTTAACTCTCAGCTTCCCAGCTGGTGCCTCCCTGGTTAAAACCCCAGGGGCTACAGAAGAACAATCAGGGCGGTCCTTTCCCTCTGTCTGACCCCAGGGTGCCGACAGCCTGGGCTCTCCCTGCGGGCATTTCCCATCTTGCCCTTTCTGGGTTAAACAACTGTCCTTGTAGCTGCTCTCCCTTCTTCACCCCCTTTCCAAAACAGTCCTCCCTCTATGCTGCAGCACGGGAGCTTCCCCACAAGGGAAAAAAGATTAACCACATCCCTTCCCTTGGCCTCAGCCCACCACCTTTTCTTAACACCTCTCTGTTGTTACAGGCTTGAAAAAAACACAAACAAAAAACCTCACGCAAGTTTGGATTCCTCCAAGACTTTCCCACAGCCTCTATCACACATCTGCTCTCCTAGAAGAAAAATGGAAAAGCATACCTAGTAATAATATTTTCCTCTTTTACACTGTATATTTGTGAGAAAGAGTGTGTTACTTCTGAAAGCATGGTTTGACAGGCATTGCTGTAGTGTTTGACAAGTCTTCAAACAGAACCATAGGAAAGCAGACTGAAAAAAAAATCAAAAAAAGAAAAAAAAAAGGCAAAACAGGAGCAAGTATTTTTGTACCAAACCTCCTAAACAGAACAATCTTACACTGGCTCAGACCACAGGTTTTGTGCTTGACTTTTGAATGCGTGTCAGTAGGAGTCTGTATCCCCCTGCCCCGTCAACTGCATGTCAAAGGCATGATGCTCACGTGCATGCAGATGTCAAGATGCACGATTTGGGTGTGTAGGAATCGTGCTCTCTCTGGCACAGGAATTGCGCTCCGGCTGCATCGGCAAGACATCTGCAGACACTGACAGTATTACTGTTTTCTTCCCAGTTGTACCAAATGACAACCAGGCAGGACAATCAGAAACTTTCTTATGGTGATTCTGCTTTTTACCTTAGGGCTATGTTAATAGCTTGCTGTGCAAAGCTTCAGCACGGTACAACGGGCTCAGATCAGGGATGGGCAGAGATAGCCCACATATGTAGCAAGGTGACAATTTGCCTCTTTCTCCTCCTCTTCCTGCCATGACTGCTTGAAGTTGTTATAAGCACCATAAACTGCTGTATGGGAAAAAAACAAACAACAAACCGCTGGTTTGCCAGCTTACTCGAGCTTGGGCACGAGTCCTGAGCAAGCTGACAGGCAAGAGACTGCTTGACATACCAGTCTCTCCCTCTCCATGCTCCAGGAGAAATTTGGAAAGAGCAAAGCAAACCAAAACCTCGAAGAGATTTCGGTTTCTTGCAAAAGGAGGTGCAAAACTTCTTCCATTGCCTGTCCTCCCAACCCTATCCTCACTGCAGGGCACACTGAGCTCAGCCGCTGCCTAGGCTTTGCTGTAGTCGGTTTCCCAGCTGCACTGAAGACATGGGGTGCCCATGGCCTTGGTAAATACATCATAACCTTTTTCTTCCTCCCTCCTTTTATTCTGTGGGTAGGCTGAGATTTTGGCTGCTGGAGCAGGGGCAGGTGTTGGGTGAAGCGGTGCAATGGGAAACTGTCCTGTTGGGGTCTTCTGTAAAAAATGGCACTGATACAGGCAACTCCAGAAGAAATCAATTCCAAGACAACCCCCTGAGTGGCTCTAAACGGAATGATATCAGCATTTCCAAGCAACGGACTAACTCTTTTAGCAAACTATTTCCTGTACTTTGTCTTGTGGAGAGGAGAGAAGCATCCACATTGTCTACTCCGCTTTTGGAATGTGTTTAAAGGTACTTTTCTATTGTAATTTTTTAATAAATAAAAGCAGTGATTATTATAAGTTAGGTGCAGAGCGTCTGTCGTGTGCTGTGTATCTGGTTGGGAACTGGCAGAAGGATCCCAGCACACACCCTTCAGGGCTTTGGGGAACAGCAGCCTCCTTCCTCTGGGTATTGGAAGGTGACACAGTGACTTTTCTCAGGGCTGATACTGTCACCGGGCTTGGCTCACGTGGATCTCCAGGAAAGCTCCAAAATCCAGGCTGGAAGGGTCATCAGGCTTAAAAGAAATTACTCCAAATTCACAGAGATGTTATCGGTTAGTTTTGAAACCTACTAATCTTGGCACTGAGCGCAGGAGCTAAGATGCATTTTTCCATGAGCTCAGCTACAGCAGAGACAAACGTAACCTAGAGACCAAGGGCCAGATTATCTTTTTTTATTTAACACACTGAGAATTCTGACAAACTTGGTTCCTGAGCCCAACCTAGAAATTACTCCTCCTTCCTCCGCTCTGCTCTCTCCCCGATGAATGCCACCAGACTCAGCCAACATGCCAGACTCTGAAAGCAAAGCACCAGGAGCAAGCTCCAGCTTAGAAAACCCAGCCCAGAGAACAGTGTGTAAAGGATGTTATTAAAGCAATATCCAAACTCGTTGAGAGTGAAAAAGGCACAGTGGTGTTACTTGAAACCCCTGCTGGCAGGGATGAAGAGTTAAGCCCTTAATGTTGGATGCTAATCCCTCCGCGGCCACCACAAGTCACAGCTTTCTTTCCGATTTGAGTTCAGGGGAGAGGTTTGTTGGCAGGCCTGGGATGGGAAGGGAAGAGAGTGCTCAGCCCAACTACTATTCAGAACAACGCTGTTCTGGGCACTGCTTCAGCGAGACAAGCAGATGCAGATTCAACAGCAAACATTCCCCATCGCTAAAAAAGCAATGAAACTCACAGGGAAATGTCCTCCTGGACTTTGCCTGGGCACAGCATCTGCTGGGAGATCTGCCCTGTAAAAGGAAGTGGGGCCTTCCCCAAAATATTTAACCTCCTGAACCTTTTCTTTAAAGCCAGAACGTTTTCAGCTCCATGCTGATCGGAGTTGCCCTCATCGGCGATGGGAAGCAAGGGAGCATGCTCGCCTGGTCCCAACGTCCCCTTTGCCCATGGTGACCTTTCCCCATGCGGCTGGGGGAACATTCCTTCCCCATGACCGTCGGGGAGCTTACAAGAAGGCCCAAGCTGCTGGCCAACACCAGGAGATTGCAAAACAAGATCTGGGACTCCCGGCCCGGTGCTGGCACCCAATACCACGGATATGTCCTGGGCTGGGGGGCACGAACGGGCGGCACTGGAAAAACTAAAATGAGAACATTTTGCACTCCACTGTTTCCAAGTCTGTCTCTCTCTATTCCCCTAACACCAATGCTAAGCTTGGGCAGGGGGAATGCAGGCAGCTCCTTCCTATGCATCTCTACATCCCTGCATCTCTACCCTGAGGCAGCCCACTGACAGGCAGCAGGCTGGTAGCAATGGTGACAGCAGGGAAGAGTCTGCCAGGGCCTGTGGAGAAAAGAACAAGTGCTACTCCCCACAATGGGTAGACACAACCCATCAGTGGAAGAATGGGAACAAGACAGGAGGAGAAGAGCTGTGTCTCCCAGAGGACTGTACAGGGGGGCAGGCTACAGCAAAGGCATGGGTGAGGGAATGGAGATGGGCCAGCCAGGGCAGGGAAAGCAAAGGGCAGACAGAGCCGGCGCTGAGGATGGCCAGCAGTGCCCACAGCCCAGATGGGGCAGGGAGGAGGAGCCAGCCCAGCACTGGCTCCTGAGGGCCTCCTTGGGAGAAGGGGGAAAGGAATAACAAAGCTAGGAAAAGAAAGATGAGAGCACTGGGGTTTGGCCAGGCAGCTTTAGAGGCTGAGACACAGGCTGAGAGTGAAGCTGGTGGCTAAGAGCAAAGAGGTAGCTTTGTGATGACAGCTGAGGTGAGGGTGCAGCACTCACCTTGGATTTTCTCCCCAGTTCTCAAAGCTTGGGGAAATTGAGAGGCATCAGCCAGCTAGGGTCACTGTGCTGCCCAAATCCTGCTAGGCAAAGCTACCCTGTCCTTGCTAGCACAAAAAGACTCCATGTGCAAAGAAAAGCATGCAGCTAAAGCACTGGCCAAACCCACTGCCCTGGGAAGGATGGGGATAACTGTATCATGGAGACATTTCAACCCAGGGAGATGAGGAGGGTGCCACAGATGTGTGCCCTGCAACTGCAGGCTGCCTGGAGAGCCGGACTTCAGCCAACATTTAAACACCATGGTCTGCCTCTCTGCCACACTCAGGCTAGAAACCAAGATGACAGTGAAGCTTGAAAAGCAAAGTGAAGAAATATCATTAGCAGATCTCTGAAATACTTCTTCTAAAACACGGGGAAGTCAACCATTAGTAGAGCCTGGACTTCATCTCTGCAGTCTCCATAATTAATAACTAGCTCAGAAGGGAATAGAGAACACAACTGATGAAGGCAGGAAGAAATCACACAAGTACTTCAGGCCTTGGATGTAAGCCCAGAAGTGCAGGTATAGTAAAAAGATTAACTTCATGGAAGAACAGCCTCCTGCCTTAACCACACTGCTGCTTAACCCCTGCTGTGCTTGCACTCTAGACTGCGTCCAACACACCAGGCTGGTAGACACCAACATGTGGGGGTCCCAAGCACATGTTGTGCTGATGGGTTTTCAGAGTTATGGCTGTTTTTTCCTGGGCTGCTGGGTAACACAAAGGCTGCTGCACACACTTGCAAACCAAAGCAGCGGAAAGCAAGAAACAAGAGAACTGCTCTTACAAGCAAACAACTGGGGCTCAGACCCACATCAGCACATTGGTAATAGGGGCTGCAAGAAGCCTCTGATCCAACCTCTCTCTTGCAACAGAACTGCTGCCAACGAGGTCTTGGCAGCCTTGTCTAGTCTGGGTGATGCATGAAATCTCCACGGATGGAGACACCTCCCCACCAGCTTCTTTTTTCCTAATATCCAAGCCAAACTTCCGATGTTCCCCTATTATGTCATATGAAATGGCTGCCAAAAAGAGCTTGAACACATCGTAGAATCACAGAATAGTTAGGGTTAGAAAAGACCTTAAGATCACCATCTTTCTAACTGGCTTTCACATCGTTGTACCTGTGTCTTCACCACACAAAGCTGTCCCCAGCTCCCCACTCTCCTCCCAGACCCTCTGTCTCCAGCCCTGAGCAACCCATAAGCCCCAAAGAGACCCTCCCCAAGCATCCCTCTTGAGTTGAGGGGAGGCCCAAACTAGACACAGTTTTGAGGTGTAACCTCCCCAGTGCTGGGCAGAGAGCCAAGAGCTTCCCTTGCTTTGCTGGCCCTTGCTTGAGTGGCACTGGCTCCATATTCCTCATTTGGGAAGAGAGTGGCTACAGCTGTGCAATACCCAGCACAAGGAAGAAGCTGCCTTCCTGCTGAGAGCCCTGCTGTGTCCAGACAAGCCCTCTCATCTGGGAACTGCCATTCTTCCTTATCTGCTTTACAGGGATGCAGATAAGTGATGCACCTGCTCCAGAGACCCTGTGAAGGACAAGACAGACATGGTTAGGAATGTGCCTATAGAGCTGAACAGACCCAAGGAGCAGCACAGAAGCGGACCCTCTCTCCTCTGGGAGGGTATCTGGCCCCCAAGCCACCTTCTGCATTACCACAAAATGCTGGCCCAGGATTCCCTTTTGTAAACACCCCTAGAGTCAGGCTGGGCAGTGCTGCAGCAATGCCAGCTACATGAGGTAACTGGGAATGCTTCTTTCAGGCTGCCCCCTATCTTGCTGACAACTTTGCAGCAGGCTGTGATGATCCAGCCATACCCAGCAGTAGAAAGCCAGTACCAGCAGACTCGGGTCCAAGCTCTCCTCTCCCTGATGCCTGTTAGAGGTTAGCCTTGCTGGTCTTAACCAGGCAACAGTAAGCAGTCAGTCCTCCTGGACATCCTCCTCCAGATGCAAGAGATGACAGCGGTCCCCAAGGCTGTAACACACAAAGGAATTTGGGCCTAGTATATTAGCAGCAATCGGAAAGCAAACAATAAAGCTGGAAATAATCAGATGTCAGTACCAGAGTTGCTTCTAGTCATGTGCAAATGCAGCCTCGCCTCGTCAGAAGGTACCAGGAGCCCAGCTTTCCCCCGTGGCCCTGCCAACGCCTGCCCGTGCTAATCAGAAGTGACAGCCCTCACTGGCTACATGCATGTGCCAGAGTCTTTATGCCATTTGTCAGGACTCCCTTGCCTCTCTCTACTCTGCTCTCTAAAAGCCTTCAATGATTATGATGAATTATAGATTAGTTCTGGTACACACCACCTGATGTCAGTTTTCTCATTCAAGCATACAAAACCCTGCTGTTTTCCATCCCCTTCCAGAATGATCATCAGAACAGGAGAAAGAGGTGGAATAACTCCTTAGTTACGACTTTTAGGAGAGAAGTCAGTAGAGCTGTGACACACCTGGGCTATTCAGCTTGCACCTTAAAAAAACACAATAGTGCTTTTATTTTGGGCCACACCTCCCTCCCAAAAAGATAAACTAGTGTAATATTGAGGGGGAAACGGGACCAAGTGCATGTCCCTGGCTGCAGAGCTGCGTTCTCTGCTCCACTGACTGCTGCAGATACTGTCTTCACAGCCACAGGCTCAAGGTGTGGTTGTGCAAGCAAAAGTATGGTGTAGACAGCTTAGGTACAATGTCCTTGGCTGGGCAAGACATACATCACCTGAGGAGCCTCAGGAGAGTAGAAGAGGGAAAAACTCACCTTGTAGGGACAGGTAAAGACTGCACCAAGATGGGTTTACCAAAGAACCTTCCTGAAATGCATAAGACAGAAGTGCCTGCCATGGACTAGATGATCACTGCAGGTCCCCTCCAACTGAAGCATTCTATTTCTATGTTCTGTCTTAGCCAAGGACAGCCTGAGTCTCCTTATCTTCCTGGTTAGCAGCAGGTGCTTTGAGGGAATGAAGAGAAAAATGGAGTAACAGGCCCATGCCCCCAGGAGAGAGCATGATGCC